GTTAAGTGAATGTATAGGAGCCTTTGAACCAAGTGAGAGAGTAATTGTGGTAGGGGACCTGAATGCTAAAGTAGGAGAAACTTTTAGAGAGGGTGTGGTAGGTAAGTTTGGGGTGCCAGGTGTAAATGATAATGGGAGCCCTTTGATTGAACTTTGTATAGAAAGGGGTTTAGTTATAGGTAATACATATTTTAAGAAAAAAGAGGATAAATAAGTATACAAGATATGATGTAGAGCGAAATGACAGTAGTTTGTTGGATTATGTATTGGTAGATAAAAGACTGTTGAGTAGATTTCAGGATGTACATGTTTATAGAGGGGCCACAGATATATCAGATCACTTTCTAGTTGTAGCTACACTGAGAGTAAAAGGTAGATGGGATACAAGGAGAATAGAAGCATCAGGGAAGAGAGAGGTGAAGGTTTATAAACTAAAAGAGGAGGCAGTTAGGGTAAGATATAAACAGCTATTGGAGGATAGAAGGGCTAATGAGAACATAGGCAACGGGGTCGAAGAGGTATGGGGTAGGTTTAAAAATGTAGTGTTAGAGTGTTCAGCAGAAGTTTGTGGTTACAGGAAAGTGGGTTCGGGAGGGAAGAGGAGCGATTGGTGGAATGATGATGTAAAGAGAGTAATAAGGGAGAAAAAGTTAGCATATGAGAAGTTTTTACAAAGTAGAAGTGATGCAAGGAGGGAAGAGTATATGGAGAAAAAGAGAGAGGTTAAGAGAGTAGTGAAGCAATGTAAAAAGAGAGCAAATGAGAGAATGGGTGAGATGTTATCAACAAATTTTGTTGAAAATAAGAAAAAGTTTTGGAGTGAGATTAACAAGTTAAGGAAGCCTAGAGAACAAATGGATTTGTCAGTTAAAAATAGGAGAGGAGAGTTATTACATGGAGAGTTAGAGGTATTGGGAAGATGGAGGGAATATTTTGAGGAATTGTTAAATGTTGATGAAGATAGGGAAGCTGTGATTTCGTGTATAGGGCAAGGAGGAATAACATCTTGTAGGAGTGAGGAAAGCCAGTTGTGAGTGTGGGGAAGTTCGTGAGGCAGTAGGTAAAATGAAAGGGGTAAGGCAGCCGGGATTGTGGGATGAAGATAGAAATGTTAAAAGCAGGTGGGGATATAGGTTTGGAGTGGTTGGTGCAATTATTTAATACTGTAAATGTATGGAAGAGGGTAAGGTACCTAGGGATTTGGCAGAGAGCATGCATAGTTCCTTTGTATAAAGGCAAAGGGGACAAAAGAGAGTGCAAAAATTATAGGGGGATAAGTCTGTTGAGTATACCTGGTAAAGTGTATGGTCGAGTTATTATTGAAAGAATTAAGAGTAAGACGGAGAATAGGATAGCAGATGAACAAGGAGGCTTTAGGAAAAGTAGGGGGTGTGTGGACCAGGTGTTTACAGTGAAACATATAAGTGAACAGTATTTAGATAAGGCTAAAGAGGTCTTTGTGGCATTTATGGATTTGGAAAAGGTGTATGACAGGGTGGATAGGGGGGCAATGTGGCAGATGTTGCAGGTGTATGGTGTAGGAGGTAGGTTACTGAAAGCAGTGAAGAGTTTTTACGAGGATAGTGAGGCTCAAGTTAGAGTATGTAGGAAAGAGGGAAATTATTTCCCAGTAAAAGTAGGCCTTAGACAAGGATGTGTGATGTCACCGTGGTTTTGTTTAATATATTTATAGATGGGGTTGTAAGAGAAGTAAATGCGAGGGTCTTGGCAAGAGGCGTGGAGTTAAAAGATAAAGAATCGCACATAAAGTGGGAGTTGTCACAATTGCTCTTTGCTGATGACACTGCTCTTGGAGATTCTGAAGAGAAGTTGCAGAGATTGGTGGAATGAATTTGGTAGGGTGTGCAAAAGAAGAAAATTGAAAGTGAATACAGGAAAGAGTAAGGTTATGAGGATAACAAAAAGATTAGGTGATGAAAGATTGGATATCAGATTGGAGGGAGAGAGTATGGAGGAGGTGAATGTATTCAGATATTTGGGAGTGGACGTGTCAGCGGATGGGTCTATGAAATATGAGGTGAATCATAGAATTGATGAAGGGAAAAGGGTGAGTGGTGCACTTATGGGGTCTGTGGAGACAAAGAACTTTGTCCTTGGAGGCAAAGAGGGGAACGTATGAGAGTATAGTTTTACCAACGCTCTTATATGGGTGTGAAGCATGGGTGATGAATGTTGCAGCGAGAAGAAGGCTGGAGAGTGGAGATGTCATGTCTGAGGGCAATGTGTGGTGTGAATATAATGCAAAAGAATTCGTAGTTTGGAAGTTAGGAGGAGGTGCGGGATTACCAAAACTGTTGTCCAGAGGGCTGAGGAGGGTTGTTGAGGTGGTTCGGACATGTAGAGAGAATGGAGCGAAAGAGTGACTTCAAGAGTGTATCAGTCTGTAGTGGAAGGAAGGCGGGGTAGGGGTCGGTCTAGGAAAGGTTGGAGGGAGGGGGTAAAGGAGGTTTTGTATACGAGGGGCTTGGACTTCCAGCAGGCATGCGTGAGCGTGTTTGATAGGAGTGAATGGAGACGAATGGTTTTTAATACTTGACGTGCTGTTGGAGTGTGAGCAAAGTAACATTTATGAAGGGGTTCAGGGAAACCGGCAGGCCGGACTTGAGCCCTGGAGATGGGAAGTACAGTGCCTGCACTCTGAAAGAGGGGTGTTAATGTTGCAGTTTAAAAACTGTAGTGTAAAGCACCCTTCTGGCAAGACAATGATGGAGTGAATGATGGTGAAAGTTTTTCTTTTTCGGGCCACCCTGCCTTGGTGGGAATCGGCCAGTGTGATAATAAATAAATATAAATAATACAGAAGACAGGGTTCATATGTCCTGGACATGTTAAGTTGGTGAAGGGGACATCACATAACACCATTCCTCATACTGAATACTACCTTCAACACACTACATATGCTCATTGGACTTACCATGCCAAAATCTGTTTTCTTTATATTAACCCTTTCAGTGTCGCAACCCCTGCTCGCAAACTTGCTCCCAGGGTCGAAGAATTAAAAAAAAATATATTATCTCATCAATTAATAGAGAATCTTTCTCCAAAGGTAATGAAACCAAAAATACAAAATTTGATGGAAAACTTACAAAATTATGCTCTAGCAAATTTAGCAGTCTCAGTGATATTTGTGTTGGCAATTTTGCCCACTTTACACTCTATTTTGCTGTAGGTTTAGCGCTTCATTTTTTATTATAATAATACGTTCTGTTTTTGGCCATTTCCATTGTTCCAGTCAACCAAACTCATAGCTATTTCTCTAGTATTCCTTCTTTACCATCAAAAGAGTACAATAAACTGCCCATGTACCTATTTCAACTGCCCAATTAAGTGATCAGAAATTGGTAATTTGGCCAGTTTTAGTCAAAATTCAACAATTGCCAGTTTGAAAATAGGGTCCAGAATAAAAAGTGTAGACATTCCTGGCACTAAATAAACATTTCCTCCACTCATCAGCCACATCTCCAGGCCCCTCATATTTTCATTTTTAATTTTTATTCACACAAAAAATAGATTTATTGTTATGCAGACTACTGCATTATTGTAATAATTGTGTAAATAATGTCAGTGTATTCCTAAATGTGTATTAGACTGGCCAGTTGGATGTGTATTGGACAAGTGTATTCTATGTGTAATATTTTTGTACAGCTAACCCTCCACTTTTTGCGAGCTTCGAACATTCGCGGATGCCCAGCCCCGATGTTTTGATGTGTTTTATGATTGCTTGTGGTTCAATAGGTTAAGGAAGCAGTATTGTTAGGCTAAGTAAATGCTATTATTATATTTTCCTGCAATATATTTGCTCATCAAAACATTTGCGAACGCTACAATACAGTATTATTATATTTCCCTACATCATATTTGCACACCAAACGTGTGAATTTTCAAGATTCACGAGGCTCTTGGTCCCCTAACCCTCACGAATGTGGAGGGCCTCCTGAACTCTGGGATACTGGCAAAAATCAAATATTTCCATTACTTAGAGCTCAGTTTCAAGTTACTTTCAGTCCTGATCTCAGTAGTAGTACCAGTTCCTAGTAACCAGTTACCAGTAACCAGTGTACCAGTAGATGACTCACTACCAACCGTCTGTGTGAATCACTATTATTCATATTGCTGCTGACCATAGCAGGATTTCAAACACCCCTCACCCTGTAGGCACTTGTGAGTCAGTCGAAGATAGGGAGCAGAGAGAGGTAGGTCGGCTGTTGGCGCTTCCCATACTTCCCATTATTATACGTACTACCAGCCTACGTGAGTATTTTTACCCATCCATGTAATCGAAAACCCACATGACACTGAAAATCATCTCTTGTTTCTCTAATATATTTTCCATTCTGTCAAATGAAACCAAAAAACCCAAGAATACAACTATAAAAACAATTCGAAAATAGACCACAAAGTCGCTGTTCTAACCCTTAAACGGTCCAAACATATATAAACGTTCTCTCGCGTAGCACCCCAAATGTATATATACATTTCATTTGTCATTCATTCAACATTGGCACAATAGGCCTGAGTCGCCTAGACATGAGAGAATGTCTAGGCGACATGCTCTTTTTTCCTATAAAAAAAACTATTTTTTTTTTCCTCAACATATTCGGGGCGCTCTTTGCAGGTGAACGTATATATACGTTTGGACCGTTTAAGGGTTAAACCAAAAACACAGAAGCAGTTTTTTTCTCGTGCACTGTGTGCTGCAGATTTTTTTTTTTATATGGTGCACACTTACCACATAGACCCTTCCCTCATATCTAGGCCCAAATTTACCGCTCATAGCATCATACTACGGGACCAACACTAGCTGCAAAGTCATGATGCAGTGGGGCTGACACTGAAAGGGTTAAAGCCTTTCTTATGAAAGTCGATGTAAATTAGTTTAGTGATACATGCTTTGTTATATAAAAAAGCTAATTTTGAAATAATTCCTGATAAGGCAGTAAGCATCTGGTTGATATTCATAGTAAAAATTCTTATTCCAGGTGAAAACAGGACCATTTGCTGAACATTCTAACCAATTGTGGAATATCAGTGGTGTCCAGTCATGGAGTAAGATTAACCAAGGCTTGATAAAAATGTATAAAGCTGAGGTTTGTTCCTTGTTTTACTTTGAATTTTATAAAAAAAAATTTTTTTTTAGTTTTTGGGAAGCATTTTATATCCCTTAAAACTTCTGTGGGCTGTAAAATATTGTATGACAAGTACTTTTTTAATAAATTTCTTTGCTACCAATTACAACTTGACTGCTGTCTATTCCTGAGGCACTGAGAAGAAAACAAGACACATTCGCCAGTAAGCAAAAGTTGCGTGTCCTATACAAAAATGTTCATCAGTCTTTGACACGAGACTAGTTTGATCAGAATGGTGTGGTTGTTTACTGAGATATTGTTGCAAACATTTGTAGGCAATCTTCTCAGAAGTGACATTTGGCAAGTTTGTTTTTCTTCTCACTCCTCATATAACCTCCTACAGGTTTAGTGCTTTCTCATGAATATAACTAGGGATGTGCCAAAGTATCAGTATTGGCTGATTTTAATGATTTTGGTATAGGTGAGTTGACTAATTTTTGTTATTGGTACCATTATTAGTGGGTATCTGCTAATTTTGATGTAATTGGTGTCAGTACTGGCAAAAATTTTGTCATCATTCCATCCCTAAGAAAAAGTTTTGAAGTGAGATTAACAAGTTAAGAAAGCCTAGAGAACAAATGGATTTGTCAGTTAAAAATAGGAGAGGAGAGTTATTAAATGGAGAGTTAGAGGTATTGGGAAGATGGAGGGAATATTTTGAGGAATTGTTAAATGTTGATGAAGATAGGGAAGCTGTGATTTCGTGTATAGGACAAGGAGGAATAACATCTTGTAGGAGTGGGGAAGAGCCAGTTGTGAGTGTGGGGGAAGTTCGTGAGGCAGTAGGTAAAATGAAAGGGGGTAAGGCAGCCGGGATTGATGGGATGAAGATAGAAATGTTAAAAGCAGGTGGGGATATAGTTTTGGAGTGGTTGGTGCAATTATTTAATAAATGTATGGAAGAGGGTAAGGTACCTAGGGATTGGCAGAGAGCATGCATAGTTCCTTTGTATAAAGGCAAAGGGATAAAAGAGAGTGCAAAAATTATAGGGGGATAAGTCTGCTGAGTATACCTGGTAAAGTGTATGGTAGAGTTATTATTGAAAGAATTAAGAGTAAGACGGAGAATAGGATAGCAGATGAACAAGGAGGCTTTAGGAAAGGTAGGGGGTGTGTGGACCAGGTGTTTACAGTGAAACATATAAGTGAACAGTATTTAGATAAGGCTAAAGAGGTCTTTGTGCATTTATGGATTTGGAAAAGACATATGACAGGGTGGATAGGGGGCAATGTGGCAGATGTTGCAAGTGTATGGTGTAGGAGGTAGGTTACTGAAAGCAGTGAAGAGTTTTTACGAGGATAGTGAGGCTCAAGTTAGAGTATGTAGGAAAGAGGGAAATTATTTCCCAGTAAAAGTAGGCCTTAGACAAGGATGTGTGATGTCACCTTGGTTGTTTAATATATTTATAGATGGGGTTTGTAAGAGAAGTAAATGCGAGGGTCTTGGCAAGAGGCGTGGAGTTAAAAGATAAAGAATCACACACAAAGTGGGAGTTGTCACAGCTGCTCTTTGCTGATGACACTGTGCTCTTGGGAGATTCTGAAGAGAAGTTGCAGAGATTGGTGGATGAATTTGGTAGGGTGTGCAAAAGAAGAAAATTAAAGGTGAATACAGGAAAGAGTAAGGTTATGAGGATAACAAAAAGATTAGGTGATGAAAGATTGAATATCAGATTGGAGGGAGAGTGTATGGAGGAGGTGAATGTATTGAGATATTTGGGAGTGGACGTGTCAGCAGATGGGTCTATGAAAGATGAGGTGAATCATAGAATTGATGAGGGAAAAAGGGTGAGTGGTGCACTTAGGAGTCTGTGGAGACAAAGAACTTTGTCCTTGGAGGCAAAGAGGGGAATGTATGAGAGTATAGTTTTACCAACACTCTTATATGGGTGTGAAGCATGGGTGATGAATGTTGCAGCGAGGAGAAGGCTGGAGGCAGTGGAGATGTCATGTCTGAGGGCAATGTGTGGTGTGAATATAATGCAGAGAATTCATAGCTTGGAAGTTAGGAGGAGGTGTGGGATTACCAAAACTGTTGTCCAGAGGGCTGAGGAAGGGTTGTTGAGGTGGTTCGGACATGTAGAGAGAATGGAGCGAAACAGAATGACTTCAAGAGTGTATCAGTCTGTAGTGGAAGGAAGGCGGGGTAGGGGTCGGCTTAGGAAAGGTTGGAGAGGGGGGGTAAAGGAGGTTTTGTGTGCGAGGGGCTTGGACTTCCAGCAGGTATGCGTGAGCGTGTTTGATAGGAGTGAATGGAGACAAATGGTTTTTAATACTTGACGTGCTGTTGGAGTGTGAGCAAAGTAACATTTATGAAGGGGTTCAGGGAAACCGGCAGGCCGGACTCGAGTCCTGGAGATGGGAAGTACAGTGCCTGCACTCTGAAGGAGGGGTGTTAATGTTGCAGTTTAAAAACTAGTGTAAAGCACCCTTCTGGCAAGACAGTGATGGAGTGAATGATGGTGAAAGTTTTTCTTTTTCGGGCCACCCTGCCTTTGTGGGAATCGGCCAGTGTGATAATAAAAAAAAAAAAATCCATCCCTAAGAATAATAATAATAATAATAATAATCCAAAATTAACTCTTGTAACCCCAAGGGGCATAAAATACTTATCACCTTATAACTTGCTTCTCATAGCCCACATTGACTTTAGCCCATGCAATTCTGAAATATAAGCATTACTGCTACTCATTGTTGAGCTTTAGTTTGCCCAGATACACCTAACTTATTCCCATTCACTCCTCATTCAAACATCCCTTTTCTTCCAGCATTTATTCATCATAAGGTAGAGCCAGAAAGATTTATTTTACCTGCTTTTGAGATCTTATTCTTATTTTCTGTACATTTGAAAGTGAACTCAAAATTTTAGAAATACAGTCAACCCTCTATTTAGTGGACTAATTGGAGAATCGGGTGGTCAGTAATAGCAATTGTGGTATATAGAGAAAAGATTGTTTTGTTGTGATGGTAACAATAATGAGCAATTCTGTGACCAGTGGACTTTGTCCATCATTACCAAATTCATAGATCCAATGGATTTTTTGTATTTCTAAATGTAGGTTGTTAAATGGTGGGTTTACTGTATAAAATATTTATGGTGCTACATTACATGTTTACAAATATTTTAATATATTCTTACAGGTTCTTCACAAATTTCCTGTTGTTCAGCACATGCTGTTTGGGAGCATCTTATCAATATCTCCTGCAAAAGAGATTACATATCACCCTCCAGGGACAGAGATATCAAGTATGAGAAATCCTTCAATGTCTAGTGCAACTGGTGGACAGGGATTTATGCCTCCACGTGCGAGTGCTGTGGCTTCACAAGGACGAGTATCAATGACAGATCGGATGCCTGTACATATAAGCCAAATGAGTAAGATGCCTCAAGATTTGCCTTTTAATGACATCTCATCTGTTATGCCTCCAGTTAGTAAAACACCTCAAGGATTATCAACAGTGGATAAAGTAAGCTCTAACATGCTCACTACCAGTAAAACAAGTTTACCTTGTGCAGAAGAAAGACATCCAGCAATGTCACCACTAAATTCTTTACCTCCTGACATATTTCCAAAGGCCACAAAACACACACAGTAGAGGCCACATGAACACTGGAAATGTGTGCACTTCTGTATAGTAGTAGTTGCCAAATCAGAATTGAAAATACGTACTCCATAATCATAATTTCCCAAGTATACAGTACACTTAAAATTTCTTGATATACTGTACACGATAAAAGTGAGAAGTACTTGCTGTTTTTGATCAAGATTAAAGTACCGAATATAAATTTTGTGAAAGAGTGAGACACTATAATTTACTATAATACATACAATTAAATTCAGTTCTGTGTAAAGTAACAAATTATGTTGGTCCCTATTGTCCAAACTTAGGACAGTGCTCCTTAGGAGAGGTTCTTTGATGCCAGTGAGAAGCTCTTGGTCCAAGGAATTGTATCTGACCTCCCTGTCCCTGCATTGAACCTGATTACCTCCCATTCCCTGGTAATACGGCCTAAGCCTAGAGTCCCAGTTCATTCATTTGATAATTGTTCATTAGAACTTGTCTGGGGATTACTGTATGTTTAGGTTGATACAAGTCAGTAGGCATGTAAATCAACTGAAAGAAAGTGGAAATGCATCACCCTCACTACTTTTAGTAGGGGGTCCTGAAAAATAATCTTGGCACTGGCCCTTTTGCTTCTAATTCTGCCAAAAATCATCCCATTAAAATAGTAGATACAAAATACGTTAGGATGAGCAATAAAAAACGATAAATCCTGTTATATTTAAGTGTTTACAAAATATGCATATGGGTATAATCTGTCAGGGATAGGAAGCACATAACTGGTTTTTCAAAGTTCCCACTACTTGAGGTTAGTTTATGCCCATGTGGTCACTCATCCAGTTTCTGGCCAGATCCAATGGTCTAACAGTGACACACATTCACAACTATTTATTAGCAAAAATGGACATAAGAAATAAATCTTTTCCCTAAAAATGGCTAGTTGATTGTAATTTGTAATAACATTGAACTTATTCAATAAATATTGATGCAGAAGATTTTACCTTTTGAATCCCAATAATTACTTTATATAATATTAATACAATAAAAAAAAAAATAAATGTTAACTGCAAGTGTATTGTACAAGGTGACTTGTAAGATCCTTACTAGCAAAAGCAGGAAGATTTAATATCCAAAGGTACAGTGGTAAACAAGAGGATTCATGGAAGACATGGAAACAAGAGAAAATTTAAAAACTATGATATACACCATTAGGGTTAAAGCTTTGTATGTGTATAATAATATCTTTATTTACTACAAGTACATGTACATGGTATACAGGCCTAGTTGATATCAGTGACATACTACTGTATAGAAAGTCACTTGTTATGCAGAGCATTTCAGGCAAATTAGGTCAGTTTTGTCCCAGGATGCAACCCACACCAGTCGACTAACTCCCAGGTACCCACTTTACTGATGAGTGAACATAGACAACTGATGTAAAGAAATGCCCAGTGTTTCCACCCTTGCTGGGAATCGAAGATATGCATTAGGAATGAGTGGTAATGACAGGATTGATACTATTGTAAGTTATATACAGCCTCTCCTCACTTAACGACGGAGTTCCATTCCTAAGACCACGTCAGTAAACCAATTCACCGCTAAGTGAGGAGCATACAATTATGGTAGTGGGTCTGTGTCAACTATCTTTGATATTGTTTTAATGTCACCTTTGCCCCATTTATAACATTTCTGGTATATTATTTTTAAATGTTTATACAATAGTGTACTGTATATTGTAATAAACAGAAGAGGAAATCAACTCTAATATACATTATTTAGGTATGCATACTGGTCAGAGAGCCCATCATAAGTCTGAGTCGTCAGTAAACAAGTACATCACTAAGTGAGGAGAGGCTGTAATTATAATTAATAAATTAGTTTATCACGAAAAAACCACCAAACCCATATGCGTCATTTAGCACTGCTTGAATTTACGAAAGGGCAATTTTGCAGATTTGTGTTTTTATAAATACTTATACCATATATACTTGTAAAATATTATATTCATAGATAGTGCTAAGATCATGTTGGTCATTCAGCTTTAGTATATACTGTATATAAATCAAACTAGTTAAAATATACACAGTCTACTTTCCATTATCAAAAGAAAACACACTGACCATTCTAGATTGGAAGGACAACAGAAAAACTTGCTAATGTATGGCCAAATGATAAATACCTGAATGGACCAATGTGGTGAGAAGTTTAAGCTTAGTATTAATATTATTACAATCAAAAAGAAATGCTAAACCCAAAGTAGCGGAAATGTTCGATTTTTGCCGATGTTCAATGAATTTTCTTGTGTAAGTCAAGTTGGTTAACTTTATTAAGTGTATTTTAACCTAACCACTCTGTAATCCGGCAAACTCAATAATCTGGCACACTACAAGTCCCAATGATGCCAGACCTGTATACTGTATTTGTACACGAGCAGTTAAAAGAAAAATACAAACTTTGCTTCTTAAAATTAATAAATACATTATTTTCAAAAATACTAATATGGTTAGCATAAATAATTATGGAACTGTACTCACTTATAAATAAAAAGTATTGTAATAAAAACACCTAAAGTTTTTACTATAGATTCTTAATATAATGATTATGCAACTAAAAGGCATCATTTTGTTTACAAAAAATTTGGCGAGATTCACACAGTTAATGTAAAAAATTACCTCTAATCATGGAAAATATACTAAACACATATGTCATACAGTACTGCACAAAAGCAAACATCAGAAGGTAAAGTTAAGAAAAAATTAATTACAGATAAATAACAAAAAGGCACAATACTGTGACTGGAACAATACATAAATAACCCACACATAGGAGAGAGGAACTTATGAATTTGTAAACGGTCCACGTCGGATCGAAATGTTGTCGTAAGCTCCTCTCTCCTATGTGCGGATTATTTGTGCATAATTACAGATTCTCATTTACTGTACATAAAATTATAATAATCAAATTAAGGGTCACACAGTGCTTCTTTGTACTTTAAATCATTTATATCAAATGTGCCATACAAAAGAACATTAGTCTTACAAAAATAATAACACACAAATGCATCAATTGTGCTAAACAGTATTGGTATTACAAAAAAAAAAAAAGGGACTAAATCAGTTTGAGCTCCTCAACAAGAGCCCTTGACCAGCACAATATAACATCAATGTACAGTTTAACCTTAAGCTGCCAGTCTGACGTAAGTGTTCCCTCAGTGCTGGTGATTTTGGAAAACAAAAAATAACTTTTAGCCTGCCAAAAAATTTTCCCTGATTTTTAAGTGCAATAAAACAAAATTGAGCAAAATCTGATTATTACTTAGAGATATGAATATTTGAAGATGACTGTGATCAATTTATGGCAACATGAGTGATTGATGAGTGAAGGATATTGTTGCACTTTAACAAGTTTTTTACAGTTTTCAGTTTTTCTAAATTTTTATGTATCACATGTTTACACCTGTATCTTTTTTTTTTTTTTTTAACACGTTGGCCGTTTCTTATTGAGGCAGGGTGGCCCAAAAAGACAGAAAAACCCACTTTCATTTAGTGTTATCGAATAACAGATTTAATGTAAACAAATGTAAATGGCATTTACTGGCTCCCTCAATGCCCTATACACACTTAGTTTCTCAGATTTAGTCCTTAACAAGCCAATTGGGACCATTTTCAAGGCCCTAGAATTTTGGCATAAATTTACCTATAGTGAGTAACATACACTTTCTACAAAAAACACTTTGCTATCCTCTCTAAATCTAAATTCATCCAGTATAAATTCATTGCCAAGAGCTTTATTCTGGTTAGATATTTCAGCTAACACAGGCAACCCTTCCTTGTAGCATATACTGTACTATAGCAATGCATTGCCAAGTTTGAAATTGAGACTGCTCACAGTTTTTTAATATGTACAAATAGGATTTTCAGTTCACTGGACTTAAGTCCTGGAAATGGGATATTGGCAGTTTGGAGAGACATCTAAACTGTCGTATTTGAGCGCCTCTGCAAAAACAGTGATTATATTATGTATGAGCAATGGTAAAAGTGTTGATGATGAAAGTTTTTTCCTTCTTCTTGGGTTTTTCTTTCTTTTTGGGTCACCTTGTCTGGGTGGGAGACGGCAGATGTGTTAAAAAAAAAAGGATGTGAACCTCTAGATAAAAAAAAAAAACAAAAAAAAAAAAAAACAAAAAAGAGTAAAAAAAAAAAATTTCCCCAGAAAACGACATTAAAAAAAAGGGCAAGTGGTGTTTTCACTAAAATGTTTTATAAATTTTGTAGCTGTAAATCTATAAATTAAAATAATACTATTTGTCACCCAAAGGGCATCAGCACCCCGTCAAAGTTACACTTTTTCAAAAAATACCGCCCTTTCCCCTACAACCCTTAGGGGGATGTTTTCTGGTTTTGTCTACTGAAATCACAAAAAAATGAGCTCTTTCGGGTATTTTATTACTTTATGTACAATACCACTAAAAAAAAAATACCATAAAATGAATTTAAATTTTTAAAATATAAAAAAAATGAAGACAGTGTCAGGTTTAAGCTACTTTTTTCAAACCCAAATTAATTTTTATGTATTTTTTATAAAAAGTTTCAGAAATGAGTGTACATGTTTGCAGTGTGCCCCCTACCGGGTTGATCCGTTTCTTTTTAAGGGTAAAAAAAATTTATACTATCGCAATGCTTTTTAAAACAAAAGAAATTACCACAAACCCAAAGTCAAGAAGTTTGGTTCAAAACTTACCAATAAATATTATTTAACTTTTTTCTTATAGTCGGACTTGAGTCCTGGAAAGGGGGAAAAGACAATCCCTGCATTTTAAAAGGAGGGGTTTGGGATTTTGGGGGCAGTTTGGGAGGATATGTTGTGTACTTTATGTATATGTTCTAAACGTTGATTCTGAGCACCTCTGCAAAAGCAGGTAATTTGTGGTGTGGGAAAAGTGTTGAAGGAGATGAAATATTTTTTTTTTGGGGGTTTTTCTTTTTTTCGGGGTCACCCTGCCTCGGGGGGAAACCCGGACCAACTTGTTGAAAAAATATATATATATATATATATATAAATAAAATTATATGAGGCTCAAGTTGAGTATGTAGGAAAGGGGAAATTTTTTCCCCAGAAAGTGGGCCCTTAGAAAAGGATGTGTATGTCCCCGTGGTTGTTTCATTATTTATGATGGGGTTGTTTTATTATTTTTTAAAAAACAAAAGAAGGCTAACCACAAGGGATACAGCGGAGGGGGTTGTAAGAATTAAATGAGGGCTTGGCAAGGGCGTGGAGTTAAAAGAAAAAGAATACAATAAAGGGGGAGTTGTCACAGTTGCTCTTTGCTGAACACTTTTGCTTTGGGGATTCTGAAGAGAAGTTGCAAGATTGGGGGATAAATTTTGGTAGGGTGTGAAAAAGAGAAAATTGAAATGAATACAAAAAGAGTAAGGTTATGGGGATAACAAAAGTTTAGGTAGAAAGATTGGATATAAATTGGAGGGAGAGAGATGGAGGAGGTGAATGTTTTCAAATTTGGGAGTGGACGGTCAGGGGGATGGGTCTATAAAAGATGAGGTGAATCATAAAATTGAGGGGAAAGGGGGGGAGTGGTGCATTTGGGGAGTCTGGAAAAAAGAACTTTGCCCTTGGGAGGAAAAAGAGGGGAATTAGAGAGAAATTTTTCCAAAACGCTTTTGGGGGTGTGAAGCATGGGTGATGAATTTTGCAGCGAGGGAAGGGGGACGGGGGAGATGTCATGTCTAGAGAAATGTTGGTGTGAATATAATGCAGAAAAATTCGTATTTTGGAAAGTTAGGAGGAGGGGGGGGATTAAAAAAATTTTTGTCAAGGGGGGCTGAGGAAGGTTGTTGGGTGGTTCGGACATGGGGAAGAATGGAGCGAAACAGAATAACTTGAAATGTACAGTCTGTAGGGAAGGAAGGCGGGGTGGGGGTCACCCTAGGAAAGGGTTGGGAGGGAGGGGGGGTAAAGGAGGTTTTGTGTGCGGGGG